CGTTTTACTAGTCCTCGTTTTACTAGTCCGCGTTTTACTAGTCCTCGTTTTACTAGTCCTCGTTTTACTAGTCCTCGTTTTACTAGTCCTCGTTTTACTAGTCCTCGTTTTACTAGTCCTCGTTTTACTAGTCCTCGTTTTACTAGTCCTCGTTTTACTAGTCCTCGTTTTACTAGTCCTCGTTTTACTAGTCCTCGTTTTACTAGTCCAGTCCAGTCCAGTCCAGTCCAGTCCTCGAAATACCGTATGCCGATCGTACTCGTGTTTTGTATCAACGCTATGGCTTTTTAGTTTCGAATAAATTTTACACGTGGTGAATTCCCAAGTAAAGCGCTCGCTACGAAGCCCGGGTGAACGCTCCTCGAGCGTCTAGTTTGATATTTTTTCAGATTTTCACCTTCAAATGCTTTCTGGAGAGGTGCCAAAGATTGTTAGAGTAAAATGAGGAGAGAAAATGGAAAGATATAGAACAAACACTAGTGGCTCGCAAGAAGAGGCTCGAGGCTCGCAAAAAACGGCTCCGGCTCGTAGGCTCGCACATTAGTTACTCTGCACAATCATCAAGAGTATTCATCACATTTTCTACTAAGCACGCGTAACTCCATGCAAAGAGCAAACCAACTTTCACGATCGCTTGCAGAATAATAAATATATCTTATTAACCAAGTGCGAGGGCCGTACTGGGAGAATATTGGCCCGAGGTCTTGACAGTACGGACCGAGCTGCGCTCGGTCCGTACAAAAAAGACCGAGGGCCGATATTCTTCCAGTACGGTCCCGAGCAAGCTTGGTTAATAAGAGATTTATGACACGACTGAAGTTCAAAGGGACACAAGTGCGGTATCATTCGGGACCATTCGGGACAGTGCCCGGTCCAATACTGAGAGAGTATTGACCGGCAATAGAGCATTTTGATTAGTTGATTTTAGTTATTGGCCCTCTGACTTCCCGAGTCGTGTAATAATAGTGATTATGTGCGCGAAATATCAAATCGTACTTTACAAGTATTGAACCCGATAGAAACCAATTACAGAAACAGGTATTTAACGGAAGAGCTAAGCTTAGATGTTTAACATTACTATTCATGTTACTTCTGTCAGTATCCCTATCCAATTCACTGTTGTTAGCGCCATCTTCGAGCGACGTGTTCGTCTCAGCT